ATCATTAAATCTGCAGATTGAACCTTTGAAATCAATTGAGTCTGAGAATAAGATTATATTTCACATTCTGCAGCTCTCACACTTAAATATAGCAAGATCATTCTCTGAAGTACAAGAGAACTCTTACTCTTGCAGATGATATTAAATATTAGTTATCAGATAATCTTATACATTGAGAATTCTTCACTTAACAGATCTCTTTCAATCTTCAGATTATATAATCATCAATATATTGCATAGAAGCTTCTGTATCTGCTAACACTTTTGCAGCTATCTCTTAATTCTTACTCAAGTGCTCTCTATACATTAACATTTCAGGTCTCAAGGTATTGAGATAAGTGTTCACTTCATCATTCTCACTCATATCTTATTTGAGAGCCTGCTTCTTCTTTGTATTTGTAAAATTCAGAGAATCATCTAACACAGGCATCTCTTTCACTTTGAAGACTTTTCATAGAATATCAGCAAGTGCCTCTGAGCTCACTGATTCTGCTAGTTTTTTGACTCTCTTGCTTCTCTTGACTGTACACACTGAGTGCAATCTTTTGCATCATGATTTTGACATTCACAGTTAAAGCAAGCTCAATGCTCACAATATCAAGATTTTCACTCAGAGGATTTCTTTTTCAGAGAATTCAGTACTTTAGTAATAGTATTCAGATCTAGATTCATCATATCTGAGTGTGTGACTTGTGTCATAGAAGTTTGATTACTCATTCTTCACTGAGATATACTCAATTACAGTATTTTCTGTTGCAATTGACTCACTTGTTTCTGTACAATGAGAATATTATATACTTTCTTCATCATGTCTGACTGTGAGATTAAGCATTTTCATTTCACTCTTAACTTGAATGTAAGATCATGAATGAAGATCTGTAAATAGAAAGATGTTAAAAGCTCTTCATTCAACATGAGATAGTATAAGCTGAAGTGTGTGAAGTATAATATGAGATTACTCACTTATCTACACTCAGTGAAGTGTTCATAATACTTGTCTCACACATTTACTTTCTCAAAGTTATGTAAGATTCATTTGAAAAACTCATTTCATGTTTATAAGAATGAATATCATTCTGAGTCTGTGAGATTTATCTTTTTATCAGTCATTTATAATGACTTCACTTTTCTGTGTAGAAATGTGACAGATCTTAAGACTTGTTGAAATTTCATTGACTGTCTGTCTGTGAGTTTATATTCAATCTGATAATATAATTGCATCTGACTTAGTCAGCTGATTACAGCATCATTTTTTCAGTCATTATTAAAGCTTAATGACTTCAGCAGATCTTCTGACTTAATGTATTTCATGCTCAGATTCTCATTCTGCACAGCAGTCTCTGATAATGTATACACTTCTGAAGAGATTGTGAATAATCATGATAAGATCTTCAGATTCAGTGTAGTTATCTATCTGTGTAAATATTTGATCTTCTGCTGCAGATCTAAGATCTGATTTTCTCTATTCTTATTAATAATAATGATTGTGTTGATGAAGCTCTTCATAGTGAATACTTAATCTGCAGTAAATGTCAATTGTTGTTTGACTTCTGTCTCAGCCTGTCACTGCATATACAAGGTCTTGATCTTATTTAGAATTCTTATACACATACAGAGCTTTGATTCTGATTCAGTGATTTCAGTTACTTTTCTTATCACTTCAAGTAAACTCTCTGAGAGGTTCTGCATATCTTTTAGTTCAGGTAGCAGAGAAGGGTGTTGTTTGTATCAGCTAGAGAAGGTATTCATTTCAGTGATTTCTGATTGATTGTACAATGTCTATTATTATATCATTATATAATTTCTGTTATTATCATATAACTTCAGTGATAGTCACCTCTCTCTTTTTATCCTTCTTTTGAGTAGAGAGTGAACTTCTTTGAATCTGGTTCACTGCTCTTATTCTCTTTTTCACATCTCATTCATTTACATACATGGTATTTGTCTGAGTGTGAAGTTTTCTCTTAACAAGTGAAGCAGCATCAATTGAATACTCTTTCACTCACTGCTCTTCATACACTATCTTTTTAAGGCATTCTAGAACCACACTGACATGATAACTATAAATCACTTTATAGATGAAATTATCACACTCTGAAGAAGCCTGCACTTCTCACCAGTTTTTAGACATACTATCAGATGTGATTCAAAGATTGCTTAAGCCAGTGTATGATTACAGGCGTATGCTGGCTTCTTATATATTGTAATATTGTACACTAATTTAATTAGCAGCCGCTATGGCCTCTTTACATTCATACGCATACACTAGTAGTTCGGAAGCGGCCGCGTTATTATCCGACAGTCATACGTTCTTCCGAACCACAATTTCATAAGATTATTAATATTGATATTATGTATAGAGTTCTGATCAGATATGTAGAAATCATCTAAATGTATATTGATAAAAGACTTTTAATACTTCTTCAGATCAATAAGAAAGAGATTATAATAGAAGTCTTCTAAGTTATTTATTAATTTCTTATAATATATAACTAGATAATGAAATCTTCTCTGAAATATTAGATAATTATTATCTCTGATATATAAGATGATTAATTCTTTTATAATATTCATATATTTCTCTGTAAGTGAGACAGTATATTTAACTTCAATTCTTTCTTATAGTATAGCTGTATTATCTGGCTCAAGAGTTTCAATAATTGTATATACAGACTCTAATAAGAACTGTAACATACAGTAATACAGTGCTTTGATATAAATACTTCATTTTTCAGCATTTAATATATCTTGACTGATATCTTCTGAGCAGACTTGTTAATTTTTTATAAGAATATCAGATTTACTAATAACTTCAGTATCTGTAAGAATTTCTATACATCAGATCTTATAGTTATTATTATTAAATGTAATTACAGCTTTAATATTTATAGCTTTTTAAACATTCTTTTAATATTTATAAATCTCAGATTTGAAATCATCTGCTATAGAGACAGCTACTTAATACATACTTATTCTATCACAGAATATTATTAGATTATTAAATATTATTGATATTATACTATCTGAACTCATTCTAGATATAGTACTTATATATCACACTTCTGTATATATTGCTTATGAGCTTGAAGTATTATCATTCAATTCATGATTTACTTTACTATTTATAGATAAGTTTATAATCTCTTCTATAACTTCTATATATTATATAGTATCTATTTTCTCTGATTCTTTATTAATAGATATCTAAGTGTGAGAATATAAATGTAAAGTTCTTCTTCTATCACTCTGTAACATAGATATATCACTCATAAGTCAAAGAAGAGTTGAATAAAGAAATTAAAAAAAAAATATATTATATTATACTGTAGAGTTCTGTTATTTCAATTAGAAGTTAAACAGATACACTTGAAACATGCAATGTAAATATAATAAAAGAATTCTTCTATTCAGAGTGAACACATTCAATACTTATACAGGTGTAGACTGGTCACTGAGACTATGAATTTCACATTTGATCTCATTTGATCTGATCTTATACATTTCTTGATATGAATTCTGCTGAGACTGACTATTAAAAAAACAGATAAAGTGACTATATATCAGACCTTAAAATGAAACCATGACTTGAAAAAAATAAGAAAGTGATCTTATTTGATCTCATTTAGTCTCATTCTTGACATAAAGTTACTATTTTTAGACATTTTAAGGTTTTTTTTAGACTATTTTTAATTTTTTAAAAAGTAACACTTTTTGATAATACTCAAATAAGATTTAAAGTCATTTAAAGCAATAAAAATAATTTAAATTGAGAAGTGAAAATCATAGTCTCATTTGAAAAATGTGATAAGAGTAGATAGTAAGTTTCACTGAAACAGTATGAGATCACTATCTAATGTTAAAATCATGTAATGAGATCAGTTAAATTGATAATGAGACTATTAAAAAATCTGGTTCTGATCTCAGATATGATTACACGGTAAGTCTATACAGATGTTTTGAAACAAAAGTAAGAAAAAATGTAATTCTTTGTAAAAACAGACTATTCAGACTATAATCTATGAGATGATTAATCTGTTGTATTCATGTAGAAAGAGCTAGCTATATATATATTATATATAAGATCACGTGTAGGCGGAGCAGTTGCTACGGCAACGTCACTAGAGTGAATGCTATAATACCTGTCAGGTCACGTGATCTGGCTTACTAATTCTTTCATTATATAACTTTTCACAAGCTAGTAATCTTTTAATCACATAAGCTTTACATCTTTCACAGATTATAAGACCTGTTTTGTGCAAAATCACTGTTAATTCAGAATTTCTTGTTAATTGTAACGTGGCGGAACCGAAGCGGTGGCTAGTCGGCGGCGACATGTAGGGGAAGTTGTTTGGGAAGCTGTATAAGTGGGCTTGACTATCTTGCTTGAATAGCAAGCTTGTAGGCTACAGAGTTGTTGCGAGAATATCACAGATATGATACTTAGTATACTAAGAAGATTGTATGAGGCACGCAGTAACTCTTGTGTATATTTCAGTAGTAGTAAAACAAATCACTGACTTCTTTCATGAGAAGCCAGCATCTAGCTATTCTATATAGATAATAGAGAGACATCTTCTCTCATTTCTTAAGCAAGAATAGCTGGAGTGATACCTCAGTGACATCTCACTATCAAGGAAAAGTAATCTGCTGACCTCATATAGAAGCAGGATTCTCATATTCATCAATTGAATCTTTCTATAATATATCTGAATGATGTCATAGAGTGGTTGGAAACTGGTTCAGACAGGATGAAATCATCTGCATGAAAGTGATGAGCTGTGTAAAACCATAATAAGGCCTTGACACGGCTGAGAGTATGATAATACTCTCTCTCTTAAGAGCATAGTCTCTATGCTCTCAAGATTACTGAATTAGAAATTATCTTTATTGTATAGCAACAGTTGCCAACTGATTGACAGTACATGTGCTGTGTGTGACATAAAGATGAGTTTTTCTGCTGACTGTGTAGGTCTTTCTTTTTCCATCTTCATTCAAATCAAATGTGTGATAAGTGAGTTCCTTATATATTAATTTGAAATGTGAAAAAATGTAGTTAACAAGTGACTTACAGATCTCTTAATATATCTCATTCTATGTATGAAATTCCCTGTAAAAGTGGTGTGTTTTAGGGACAAAGCTAACAGTAGTGGCAGGATTTTTTTGAAAGATTCTCTTCCTCTGTGACACATTTTTCTCCTCTCTCCTTCATCTGCAATAGTGAGTGCATGGGAGTATTGTCCTTGAAGAACAGTAGAGAACTTATTCTGACATTTTCTAGTGAGTAATAAATGTCTTCATGGTGCAGCGGTGGCCTCTGTGACTACCAAGAAAGCCAGGTTGAAGGCAGTGTTGTCAATGAGCTGTGAGAGCATCACTTTCATTACCACATCTCCTCCTGCTTCTCTTGCAGCTGCAGCAGAAGTTGCTGTGCCCTGCAGTGAGATGTCATCTCTTCTGCCGGCTGGTGCATCTGCATCCGGTTCATCTCCTGCCCCCCCCACCGCTGTTGCGACGCTGCCCCTCTCCCCAGCCAATACAGTGACATATGACCCTGTGTGGTTATTCAGAGAGGAACTCAGAGAGAGCTTGATTTCAGAGACAGTGACTCTGAGAAGCTCAATTCATAGTTTCTCTCCTGCAGCACACCTGAGCCCTGCTCAGAATACTGCTGAGTTGAGTTCACAGAGTTCTACAGTTTCTTCATCTTCTTTCTGTGAGAAGGCTTCAATACAGTCTCTGACTGGCATCACTACTTGTCTGCACTGCATTAAGCAGCTGAAGAAGAGAAGGATTTTATACACCTGTCTCTTCTCTCACTTCTGTTATTTCTGTTATATCTGCAACAATGACTTCTACCTCTCTGTAAGTATTATCTCACAGAAAGACATTATATTAGTTCTGATAAGAAGTCTAGATACTCAAGCAGTACAGAGCAAGAGTCTCAGAGCTTCAAGTGTTGATGAATTTTATCAAGACTGAGAAGATTCTCCTTACTCATCTGCAAAAGAAGATGAAAGTGTGAATCTCTGAGATGAAAAAACACCTCAGAATGACTGATCTCAAGAAGAGATCAGTCAGCACTGTTATTGAAAGTATCATAGAGATCAATTACTGATTGAAGAGAATCTCACTTTATTTGAAGCAGATAACTGAGATGCTTTGTAAGTTGATAAGTTAACACTTTCAGTATCTCTTATACTCTTCTATAGCATGCTTCTCTGCAGTACTGCAGTACTAACTTCTCAGCAGACAAAGATGCTGATGTCAGAGACTTCAACAGTGAAGAATGAGTTTGATAAGAGTGTGATTATTAATGAGTAGACTCTGAAATTCTCTCTTTTTACTTTTTCAGCAGGCTGCAGCCTCACTAGAATAGCAGCAGCTCACAGATTAATTAATATTAATCTTTTTTATTAATTTCAAATATCTCTTCTCTCTAACTACTTCAGGAATTTTACACTTGTGTAGTCTCATTAAACTTCTAAAAATTCTTTGAGAGAAAATAGAAGAAGAGTGCTACAGAGTCTATAAGACACTGGCTCATTATCATGAGATCATCTCTAAAAAACTCTTTGAGAAAAATGAGAAGTCTTAAGCAGCATTTCTTGCTCAACATCTCTGATGTGTAATGAGGTAGTCTCTACTAGCTGTCTCATAGGTTGCAATCTCTTCCTCAGCATTTTTCAAATGCTCAAGCAGTTCTCATGAATTCTCTGATAATGAATAATCTTCTCATTTAACAAGATATTAAAGCTTGCTGTAATGTGTTCACTTGTTTAATATTTTCTTCACAAGATATTCAGTATCACTCTTGATCTCAATACTATTCAGCTGAGATGACTTCATCTCAGAGTGTTGCTTATAGAGCTTCAAATAGAAAATGTGAAAAACAGAATGAATTGATTTCAATTCTGTGAGTAATTTCAACTCATATGTCTGCTTACTCATCACTCTTGTTACTGAGAAAGGTTCTAGTCACTGCTTACTGAGCTTCTTACACAGTCTTGTTATCTTGATATTCTTTGCTGAAAGTAGCACTTGATTCTCTATTGAGAACTTCATTGAAAGATGTTTTCAATTATAGTATTTCATCTGTCACTTCTGGACATGATGAATGCTTTTCACTGCCTTCTCATGAATTTTGTTCAAAAGTTCCAATCTCACTTTTACTTCTGACACTGAGAAATACTTCATTCTCTGTATCTGTCTGACATTCTGACTGTCTATTTCTCTCTTTGAAATGTCATTCACAATGTCACTGAGTAACAAAGAATTATATTCATAACAAGCATAGAAAGAAGATATCTTTAAAATTACATTCTTTACATTGTTATATATGAATTCAGTGATCAGAAGATGTTTGAGTCAATCATTCTGATGATATGAATAGAACACTTGAAGATGCTGTTCTAGTGTCTGATTCTGATGTTCAGTCTGGCCATCAATCTGTGAATGAAATGCAGTACTGAGGAGACACCTTATTATAAAGTGATAGCAAAAAGCCAATCAGTATTTGCTGATGAAGAGAGATTCTTAATCTGTTATCAATGATTTTGAAGCACTGTGATCATGAATGATGATATCTAAAAACAGGTCAGTCAATTCAGAGGCTTTAATCTTTTTGTGAATAGAGATATATCTGATTATCTTTGTGAAGCAGTTAACAATGATCAAAATTGAGTCACATTCTTTAACTCTTGTCAACTTCAGCAGATTAACTATGAAATTCATCAATAGATTCTGTCATAAGCTCTTTGAAACAGACAGTGACATCAACTCACTGTATTACTTATACTGCAGGATCTTTATTCTTTGACAGATATTGCAAGTTTCAATATACTCTTTGACATCTATCTGAAGCTTGTCTCAAATGTATTTACATTTTAGAAGCTTCTCAGTCTTCTCTAACCTGAAGTGCCCCGCATGGGGATCATCATGATAAATTCTCAATAACTTCTGACACATCACTCTGCTATGAGAGATGAAGACTGAATCATTCAGCAGTAGAAGTTCACATTCTTCTAGTTACCAGCAACTTGATTTCTTAGCAGTATCATCCCACTCAGAGTCTATCTCTTTCAAGTTCAAATCAGATTCTTTCTTCTTCAACTTTTGAATTTAAGCTGCAGTAGAGACATCCCTCTTCTGTAACTCATCAATGAATTTTAAAAGTAGTCAGATTGAAAGATTGTAGACTGTTTCATTCTTTATCAATTCAATGATTGCAAGATATGATATGAGAAGCTCATGATCTTCAGTGTCAGTTCTCTGTGAGAACTCAGGTTCTCTTTCACCTTCTATACTGAGTCGCGCAGCTGCCTCTCCAGCACTGTTCCCAAGCTTTAGAGAACCTCAACCCTCTGCAGCCAGCTTCTTCTACAGTGATGGCAGAGATTCTTTTGTAGAATCCTTCTTCACATCAACAATATTATAATCAGGTTATCTAGACAGTGTGTCAGTGAAGTTAAGCCAATCTGAATGATATCAGATATAGAAATCATACTTCAAAAGCAGCTCTGCTCATCTGGCTTGACATTCTGTCAAGCTCTTTGTTGTCAAGAAGTAATGCAGATTTGCATGATCAGTGAGAACTTGCACTGAGTACTTACTATCCTGAAGATAATATCACCAGATCTTAAAGAATTTGACAATTACTAACATCTTCTGATCATGAGTATCATACCTTCTCTGCATGAGTAATAACTTCTTGAAGAAGAAGATCACTGATCTTCATTCACAGTATTTTATAGACTCTGTGAAAAAGTCTTCTCTTACAGACAATTCATTGTCTGTTTTCTCAGAGATAATTATTCTCTGATTCTTTCAATGTTGAAAGGTCTTCAGTGTCAACTGTGAAAAGATTCCACAGATCTCATTCTCAGATGCATCAGTCTCACACTGACTGAGTAAGTCAGGATTAAAATGATTCAGCATTGTGACATCTGTGAAAGCTTGTTTCAATTTCACAAATACCTGCACAGCACCTTGAGTGAGAATAAATAGTCTTATTTTCCTGTCTTTCACACTTCTCTTCAACAGATCTGTAAGAAGAGCAGTAATCTGTGAATATGTATAGATGAATCATCTATAGAAATTTGCAAATTCTAGAAACATCTGTATCTTGCAGTACATCTGCAGCACCGGCCAGTTCTCAATGACAGAGACTCAGCTCCTGTTTATTGAAATATCATTCACTTCAACAATATAATCTAAGAAATCAATCTTCTGCATGTAGAATGAGTATTTTTCAGTGTTTGCATAGAGTTAATACTATCTCAAGTGACTCAACACTTCTCAAACATGAGTATTATATTCTTTCTCTGATTTCAAGAAGATTAAAATGTTGTCCAGGTATACTATGCAGGAGATGTCAACAAGGCCTCACAGCATCTCATTTATATAGGCCTGGAAGATGGCTGAAGTGTTACAAAGATTAAAAGATAAAACAAGATATTTAAAATTGCTGTACTTGATATGAAAAGCTGTTTTTCAAACATCATCTTCATTAACTCTGATTCTATGATAGACATCTCATATATCAATCTTCAAGAACATCTTTGCTTCAGATAATCAATCAATCATCTCATTGATTAACAGTAATGAATAGTGATTCTTAACTGTTATCTTATTGAGGCCTCTGTAGTCTACATATAGACATAGTCTATCATTCTTCTTAAGTACAAAGAGTATAGATGCCTCTGCTGAACTCTTTGATGAATATATTCAGTTCTTTGATTGCACTTCTTTAAGATATTTGTGCAGAACATTCAACTCCTTTACAGACAAGTTGTAAAAAGGCTTGTATAATGCTGTTGCACTGTTCTCAAGGTGAATCTTATATCATATCTTGATATCAGAAAACTTCACTGCTTCTCTTTTCAAAAAGACATTCTTAAAATCTGTAAAGAGATGTTGTATACATTCATCTTCAATGACAGATACTGCTGCTAATCTTGCAGTGAGAGTGATAACTTCTTCATCTGTTCTCAAGTCTCAATCACCTGCTATGCAGTATATTGACTCAATTTTTTTCTCAAGATTCTTTCAATGAAACTCTTCAGATTCCTCTATCACTGTCTCTTCATCAGTGAGACAGTACTGCCACACCTGAGTAACTCAGTCAATGAGAGGATTGTTTTCTCTCAATCACAGAAGATCTAGAATGACATTCTCATCTATGATATTAACTGTGTAAAGAAGCAGACTGCTCTTCTTAAAGGTTTCTTCTGAGTCTGTGATCACACACTTTGCTTGAATTATGTCAAAACAGTGATATTTCATTTCATCTGTAAATTTTACATGGTCTGACAGATCTATCTTCTTTCAATTCTTCATCAAAGAAAAGAAATAGAATATGAAGTTGATATCTGTTCTGGAGTTGAGTAGGCATCTCACTGATATCTTCTCATTCAGAGTATGCATTGTGATCATAACATGAACTCAGAGACATGAGAATTGTCAATTCTTTTCTTTCTCTTCTTTATCTTCTGTGGATACATTTATCAGAAGAGGAGTTAACTTTGAGAAGATATCTTCTCAGTTTCTTCTCTTCTTCAGCTTCTTACAATCACTGATATAGTGATCATCAGCTCTGCAGTTGAAACAGAGATCTTTGTCAAATCTTTTTTAATATTTCTTCACAGTGAGTGAAGAATTAGAATACTTGAAATTCTTCTTTGCTTTCTCTGCACTGAAGCTGTTATGACACTGTTTAGATCTCATCATTGATTGCTTAGAAGAGGTCTTGTTGACCTTTTTCTCAGAGAATTGATTATTCAAATAGATCTGAGAAGTCAGGTTGACAAGCTCAGTACAATTGATTGATGAACTCTGATACTATAATATTATTATTCACACTTTGTGAGTCAGCTTTATAAGATAAAGCTGTATTTTTAATTGATTTAAATCATCAGTCAATTCCTCTCAATATTCTTTGAATCTTGTGTTGAAATCAGAAGAATTTTCATCATCTCATTGATATAATGAGTTGAACTGCTGCATCACTGTGAAGCTGCAGTTACAGTGATCTTCAATTTAATTCAGTAGAAAGTTCTTGAATTCTTTCTAAGTTATGACAGTATTGATACACTCAAGCTCTCTCTTCTTGATAACTCAAGTAGTTGCAGAGATGCCTTTAAGAAGGTTGATGATATATATTACTTATATCTCATGAGTATTATACTGGCTCAGATTAAGGCAGAATTTTCATTCAAGAGTACAGATAAAGCTGTGAAATTCAGACAAGATGTTTCTCTTATATCTTAGTGAATCTCCAATCTTAATCTCTCTATCTTCATAATAGATATAGGTGTATAGAGGCCACAGCAGTGACAGAGTGGTTGAAGAGCTCATGTCAAAATGCACAGTGAGTTCAGAAATCTCAGATTTTTGTCAGAGTAGAGATGTACACACTCTAGAAAATGATGTAGTATTTCTCTCAGAGAGTGAAGTCAGATCAGTCTCAGCACAGGTGTGTGAGGTCATATTAATCTGTTAGAGCTTGACTGATTCAAACTTATAATCAGATTAAGTGATTCAAATTATAATATAATGAAACTGAAGCAGTGACTAGTTAGCAGTGACATGTAGAGAAAGTTATTTAAGAAGCTATATGAGTGAGCTTGACTATCTTGCTTGAATAGTGAGCTTGTAGGCTACAGAGTTGTTGTGAGAATATCACAGATATAATACTTAGTATACTAAGAAGATTGTATGAGACACACATTAACTCTTGTATATATTTCAGTAGTAGTAAAACAAATCACTGACTTCTTTCATGAGAAGCCAGCATCTAGCTATTCTATATAGACAATGAGGGAACACCTTCTCTCATTTCTTGAGTGAGAATAGCTGGAGTGATACCTCAGCAGTGCCTCACTACTAAGGAAAAGTAATCTGCTGACCTCATATAGAAGCGGGGTTCTCATATTCATCAATCGGATCTTTCTATGATATATCTGAATGATGTCATAGGGTGGTTGGAAACCAGTTCGGACAGGATGAAATCATCCGCATGAAAGTGATGGGCCGTGTGGAACCGCAACGGGGCCTTGGCGCGGCCGGGAGCGTGACATTAATATAATCATTATTTAAACTACTGCTTCATTCAATACACTCTTCAGAAGTTAAAATTGTCTTATTCTATCAGTATTAATGTGTTTGAGATCTTGATGATTAATAATACTACTGCTCACTTAAAAAAGAGGCTTGTAGAAAATGCATCACATTTGCAAAAAAAAAAAAAGTAAGAATGAGATATCTATTCAATATGTTTCATCTGCTGAGAACGCGGCGGATGAGCTTACTAAACCACTTGAAACGTTGAAATATACGCGTTGGAAAGAGAATATAAAGAAGATAGAGAGATAGGGGGATAAAAAATGATGTATATCATGACTGGTTTTTTTCATTACTTCACATTTTCCAGTCATTTTTTGTACCTGTACTTGATTTGAAGGCGAATTTTGTATATAGCATCGTGTATAGTTACTCTGGTGAGTGGGTGTCAGGTCACGTGATCTGGCTTACTAATCCTTCCACCATATAACTTTCCACAAGCTAGCAACCTTTCAATCACACAAGCTTTACACCTTCCACAATACCAATATCGAAAATGCCGTGGATCCGGAGGTCAGATTTCACAAGACCATAACCATACTCATACCCATAAACCTGTGGTGTCAATGATATCGCGGGTATAACCATAACCATAACAAAACCATAACCCCATGATATCAACGATATCATGGATATAACCATAACCTGTGGTGTCAACGATGTCACGGACATAACCATAACCATAACCGCCAATATCAACACCAAAACGATGGAGATACCGATAACCATGATACCGATAACCATGATACCCGGGCTGTTGAATGCCCATATGATAACCCAGGGTAAAGATGATACCCCATGATAACCATGATAGCCCACGATAACCAGGCCAGCGAGTGCCTATATGATAACCATGATAACCCACGATAACCAGGCCACCGAGTGCCTAACTATATGATAACCATGATAACCCACGATAACCAGGCCAGCGATTGCCTATATAATAACCATGATAACCCACGATAACCAGGCCACCGAGTGTGCCTATATGATAACAATGATAACAATAACAATAAAATGACAAAAATATGAGAAATGAGACCCCGCAGTGTTCGGATGACTGGGGGGGGTAATACAGATACAGAAAGAACGGATTTGGGCGTTTTTTCTTGCATATTCGCGTATATTTGCATGTATGGAGCTAGTCCTTATGAGAAAACTAGACTCTACTTTGTGTAATTAATTATTATTGCAGATTTGAATGATTTGAGTGCTTTTGTGGCTGCGTGGGCTAGATGGCCGGCGCAGAATGGGGGGGTGTTGGAGGTTCTCCACTGGCCCTCACCCACGTGACCCACACATATATTAGTTGCCGCTAGCACTAGAATAATCAACCAAGTTCAACCTCTTCTACAATTATTTTCAATCTCTCTTGTAATCAAAATTTTAAGAGAGATTAATGTCTGTGACATCTGAATAATTACAGCTTAGTTTCTTAGCATTAATCAAAACTTTTGAGAGAATTCTCTGTAGTGGCTGTGTGATTGCAGCTCAGTAATAAGAGTATTTATTCTTCAGTCTACCTCTGAATCTCTTCTCTTCACTTCTCAAGAGTTTCATTTTGTTTCAGAAACAACATCTCAATGAAAATAACCATGCAAGCCCTTCCGAATGAACTCATTCTGCATGTTATAAGATGCCTCATCCCATCCTCACCTCCTGTGGTCTTCAAGCCTCAACACCCAGTGACTAAGAGTCTGCTCAATCTCACACTAGTGTCCCATATCACATCCGGTGCTGCAAAACATCTTCTCCTGAGGCACTGTCTATATCTAGACTCTGAAGAGCGTCTTGCAAAGCTTATGTCTCTGAGACAGCAGTCATCAGTGGACCTCAACGCTGCAGGGCCAGAGGGACTGTTTCTAGCCCCCTTCCCGGCGCAGAACCTCAATTGTCCCAGTATTGTGCACAATGTTAGCCTCCTGCTATCCGACATTAGCGGGACACTTGCTCGCCTCGTTATCAACCTGCCCCTGCGTTTCCTCTACCCGGAAGAGGACAAGAACCTCTTACGGCCGATCTTGCGGGAGGCTTTTTCCCACTTGACAGCTTTGGAAGAGTTCTGTTCAATGCAAGATGAGCTCTACCTGGACACAGCATTAGAGCGACGCGGGCCACAACCGGAGGTATGGCAGGCATGGCCACGACTGCGGTACCTTGCGCTATACAACCCCTGCGTCGATTCAGCTAGATTCGTCGCGGGTATCAAGTGTTGTTCCAACCTGACCCACCTCGTCCTTACGCGGCCAGATGGGATATTCAATGATGTTGCCGACGACCAGGATGGTTTGGGACCCCTGCCACGGCTGGAGCAGGTTATCATCGTCAATACTGAGCGGGGTTTTAGTCGCGATCGGAGGTTCCACGACGACGAGGGGACTGCGCCGGACGATACACTCTTGAGGGGATTAAAGAGTGGATGGTTGAGTAATAATCAAGTTGGTCGGGCTAGCGCGGAGATGTCTGAGTCTGACTACTTTTGTGTTGCAGCCGAAGTACCTATCCCTCCTGATCTGGTGGGGGAGGATGATAGTGATATCCTAGCATGCCAGGGGTGGGTTGGCAGCCGCGCACTGAGTGGAACATTGTGGGATGAGTCGGGCACTCCATTTCTTGACTGGCCGGAGTCATGATGCGTTGCGTCTGGTTTTCAATGTCAACATAGCTATTCCACATCGATAGTTTTGTACCTGCCATTCTCAGGTTATAATGTAGAGAAGAGAGCAGAGAGCACTACGCGGTGATTTGAAGCCTCAATTCATTCAAAAGTGTCACTGACATAACATAACCTCATAGATGGGCATCTTTAGATTAGCCACATAGCTAAGCAAACTGCCAAAATCGGCCACATGTGTGTCCCTATATAGGGAAAGCTATCGAGGGTGGAAGAATGTATTGTACAAGCTAGATGCCGATTATGTGGAATACAATGAATGGAAGGGCGGAAGTGTACTGAATGAGGCTTTGACTTGTGTTCAACAGAGCTCATCTGTCTACAGTTGAGTGGTTCAATTTGTCTCTTTCATCACATTCATGTATCACACTTGAAAAAGCTAATCCCAATTTCACCCCACCTGGTGTGCTCTAGCTGTGCTCTATTGTCGTGGGATGAAACAGAGGCCTGACCTCAAATTGAAGACTTCTTCTAACCTTCAAAATACAGATGATGATCATTGAGATGAGAACCATAACTGGTAAATCTATTATAGCAGTCAAATATTAGAACAAAAGCATAATTTCATCTCCTGACACTCTTATCTTCATACTTCTGAACTCTGACTCATTGCATTCATATTCTGATTCATCCTCCACTCCCCCTCTCCCTCTGCAGCCCCAACAAATTCCTCTCGCTTCCAAATCTCCACTGCGGCCTTGCACTGCTCCAACACCTCCTCTCCAGCCCTCCATGCAGGTGCTCTATGTCCCGCGCTCACTGCAATGGCAATTGACTCCTCTGCAACACCCACCTCACCCAGCCGATGTGAGATACTGATGCCCTGTAGCTTGTATTTAGCCACTGCATTGCGGGCGATTTTCTCCAGCGTGCGCAGGGCTAGGGGAGTGTAGCTGATGTATGTGAGGCGGGCAATGGGGTGGTTGTCAAAGGTTGAGCGGGTGGTGCCGAGGAAGAGAATGTTGGCACCCGCGTGCGGGGAGCGAACATGAATGATGCTCCTGGTTGGATTGAGAGGGCTGTAGGTTAATTCAAGATGGATGTTCGCGTCGGGGATATGACGGGTCTGTGGGTAATTTGCTGGATTGAGATGAGCGGGAAGAGCTTCAGAGGAGGCCTCGGGGTTGAGATGATGTTCTTGAGATTGTGATGTTGTTGAGTTTGACATGATTGATGCTTGATATCCGGACTCGGCTGGATGAGATGAGAGAAGGGGATCATTAGGCGAAATTCCTGATGGCGATGATGTCAGGTCACGTGACCTGGCTTACTAATCCTTCCACCATATTGTTGTAGGATAGTTGTGTAGGCTACTGGGGCAAAAGAGCTCAATCACCACCAGTGCCTGCTGGTAGAAGGGCCGACCAACCGCGGGACCCTCAACAACCCCCCTCAGACCAGCTATCACAGAGTACAGTACTTTCTCTCAGTGACTCTCTTCAGTGATCTCCTCACAATGACTTCTTTTTAATAATGAACTCAGTCAGTTCTAGAGCTCACAGAACTTCTAGAGTATACTTCTAAGATATCTCTTAGCACTGTTAAAATATTCAGAATATTTATTAGAAATTTTTAAGTTTATTCTGAAATCAAACTCATGCATGTTGATCATAGTAGAGCTCATACTTAACAGTCTCACAATCTGTAGACTACTGAGACAAAAGAGCTAAATTATTATCAGCACCTGCTGATAAAAGAGCTGATCAACTGCGGAACTCTTAATAAGTTAAAGATTATGTATTGATAGATCTATCTACAAGAATATAATATAGTGATGAGTCACGTGATCTAGTGAGATCACTAACTGTAACAGCTGTAAGGGTCAACACTCTCTCTCAAGATAATAAGAATCATATACAAAAACACTCAAATCATCAAGATAGTCTGTCAAAATCAAATACAAATGTAAAATTAAACATTCTCAACTTTTATATCTGTAAGACCTAGTAAAATCATGAATTGTATAAATATCACAGTGTCTAGAGATTTAGTGAGTTCATTCACTATTATCTAAGTGATAAAAATATATTCTAAATTAATAATTCTCTGATTCAACTGTTAATATGAAAAATAAAAATATATATTAATATGTTTACTTCAGACTGTAATAACTGTTATCTTTATAAGATCTATGATACTCTTATTATCAGTGAGAATTTGTATCAGAGATGTAGTAATGAAATTAAGCTCAATTATGAAATTCTGAATTCATGTTATTTCACAGACTGTCTTTCAAAGAGTTATGTATTCAGTCTTATTGAAACTCAGAGATATACAAGATTACTTTACTGAATACTATAAAATTAAGCTATCTGTGAGCTTAAAAATGTAGCTGAATATTGATTTTCTATTATCATTCAAGAGACTGATTCAATCAGAATTCAAGTAGCTGAAGAGTAGATAGAAATTATCAGAGAAATCAGAGATAACAGAGAGATTGATAGAAACAGTAGATATGAATCTCTTATACAGATCATATCTATAGAAAATACTCAGATTCATAATCTCTTTTAAATAATGTATAATATATAATAGAGTCTTTTAATATTGAGATGTTAAATTAATATTCTATTAAGTGAGTAATAAGACAGTATGAGTGATATCAGAATGTGTTTTAACTGTAAGATATTATAAGTAACTCATATTATATTAATATCACTGAATTGTGAAATCAGTCTCTTTCTCAGATATAGAGAAATTATTAATATGAAATTTATTCTTCATTGATATTCTGATAACAGCTGTATTATCAAGATAGAAATCTTTAACAAGATATTTGATATATTAACAATATATTAAATCAATTCTCTTATTTAAATAATTGATCTTTATATTCAAATACTTAATTAACTGGTATAGATTCTTGACTTTCAATTTCTCACTAAGTATACTTACTAGTCAATCAGCATTCTCAGAAGCTTCAGATATGATATTGAAATCATTAATATAAATTATTATATAAAGATGATATCTGAATGTATAATATCAGAGTACTGAATTATAAGTACTAACTGTAAATTCAAGATTACTCAATAGAGCTGTTAAGTAATTATATCAGATATTCATTATAGAGTTCAGACTGTATAGACTACTCTCAATCATGCAGATAAGTATTTTCAGTGAATCTGTCTCAAATCTGATGAGTTATCTTATATAGATCTTCTTAGTGAGATATTTATGAAGATATATTATTACTATATTTATCTGATAAAGTGTTTAACTATGTAGTACTATTATTATAAAAAGAATATGATTAGCAGTATCAGTGATAATAGAAGTATAGATCTCTTCTCTAGAACTCTTCTTAAGTCAGTTATTATAAATTACTTAACATAATTTTCTAAGAATATTATCAGAATCAACATTCAGATTCACAGATCTATCTTTCTTAAGAAATACTTAACAGTCTGAAGTAATTGATTCATTTCTCAGAATATGAGATCTAGAGATTAAACTTCATATATTGTGTCTCTTCAGATTGATAATCTTGCATTGTATGAACTTCTTTCAATAATCTTCTACTTCTTCTAACTGTGATGTGGCATTCTTGTAGAACTTCAGAAGGTTACTCATAATAGAGCTCAGAGTATATATAGTCAGCGATTTCGCGGGCTGCAATCATGTGAAATTCAGATCATTAATATCAGAAGCATGTTCATCATCAATCAGATGAATATCAGGTTTCAGTTCACAGGCATTATTAGTGAGTGTCACAGATGTGACAACTGATTCAATAACATGATTAATGAGTTTCATAGATATAATAACCAGTTTTTCAGTGATCAGAAACCTCATATTACTACTGACAATAATCTTGTCAGATTCGAAATGTTATAGATGATATATTAATATGTCACTGAATTCAATGATATGATAGAAATCAGCATGTGAAGAAAGCTTATCTACAGGCTGCTGAGATTCATGCAAGTGAATAAAAACCTCTGCACTTAATTGATGAAAATGTCTCACATTCAGCAGAGTATTCATAAGTGCATATCAAGAGATCTTATATGAACTTGAAATTATGAGAGTCTCTGCAGTAGAGGATCAAAATTTTGAGTTGTAAAGAACTGTAGATATGAGAGTATTATTGATTATTATAATCACTGTCTCTAGAACATCTGCTCAGAACTTTTTAGAGAGATTATCTTTCAAAAGAGCAGCTCTAATCTGTTTCATAATAGTGTGAATCTCATATTCAGAAACATCATTCTGATGTGATGAATATGATACTGTTAATTTTCATTTGATATCATATGAATTCATAACTGTGTGTATACATGTGAATTTAAAAACATCATTAATATCAGTCTGTAGAAAAGCAGAGACTGTATATCTGAGATTATTCATGAATCTGAGCCATAACTCAAAGTATTGAACAGTCTCATTCTTGAACTTTAAAAAATATACTCAACAGTAGTGAGTTGCATCACAGATGATAAGTATTCAGTATTTGATTTTCTGACAGAACTCTAAGAGATAATCAGAGAGATCTTTCAATGTATGTTCATCATCTGTAAGATTAATATAAACCTTCTCAATGAGTTGAATAGATTTAGATATCAGTGTTTTCAAATAATCTTACATCATATCTGTCTTGACATATTTCTTGTAAAAGAAGTTAGTCTTAGAATCTTTAATTGTGACTTCAGTATGAGAATTCTTGGCCATAGTAATTATAGCATCAGTATGAATGTGACTGAGATCACAGTGTCAGTTCAAAAGAGTCTTTGATATTCTTGTATTCTTGAGACCTGTAGTCAGAACTGTAGAATCAATGTTATCAACAGTAGTAATAGCAGTCACAGAAAGATCAATTTTTCAGTTAAAATCATACTCATACAGTATTACAATATACTTGACTGCCTTGTTCAGATGATTGAAATTCTCATTGAACTTCTGTTCATTGATCTTATATATGTTATTCTGAGTAGTCTGAACTGCATGAAAAATAACATCATTCAGAGCTCTGCAAATGAAAAATGAGGAAATAGTGAAAGACAATGTAAATTGAAATCTCTGATCTTCAAGCTTTGCAAATGAGAGTAGGTTAACTGTAATATTAGAAATATAGTAAATATTCTGCAAGTTAACATTATCACTCTCAATCTTCAAGATGACAGTCTCAATCTTCTTGATAAACTCAGTTCTCTCAGTCACAGAATCAACAGAGATATTATCATTAAAAGATTTGATATTTGAAAAAGAATAAAGCTCATCTGTTATATTCAGGCTTGCACATGTGTTCAAATATCAAGATCTAGACAATGGTTTTTCAGTGACTGTGAAAGAGAAATAGAACTCAATCTTTGTAATTACTGTATTTGCTGCTGATTGAGAACTTATCAAGTCATTCTTCTTCTCTTTCTTCTTATCATTCTTCTTTTTCTTTTTATCAGAGTGTAAGATGAAATATCTGTCAACAGTATATTCATATCTTCTGCAGTGAGTGCACTTTTATACAGGTGTGCTTTTGTCCTTATCTTTGTTCTTATCTTTGTTCTTATCTTTGTTCTTTTGCACAGTCACAGAATCAGCCTGAGACTGCTTTTTTCACTCAGTGATGATCTTCTTGAATGTACAATTGATCAGTTGCTTTATCAAATCATTGATATTAATGTTGACAATGAGTCTCTGATCAGTGAAGAAAAACTCATTCAAATGTGTCTTAATAAACAGTCTTTGATAATCTTGTAGATTGTTGAGAAAAAGATTATAATATACATTCTCAGTGCTCTGACAGAGCTCTTTGTAATGAGTAATAAGATAGTGAAAACATCTCTGAAAAGTAAGATAATCATTCTTCTTAACTTGTAATTTTGTCAATTTCTTGAAGATATTAACTCATTCTTCTGTCAGTGATATTATATATTCAACATTAATCTTGTCTCACAGAGTCACAGTATTGTCAGCTTTCAAGATTTCAATAGTGATTTGAATGTTTTTAATAAGACTCAATAGTATATATCTATATAGAGACTTAGAACAGATTCTTCACTTCTCAGAGTTAATATGATGTATAAAAGAGAATTCTTGTTGAGTTCTTCATAGAATGTCAGTTTCATCAATAACTTTCACATCAGTTAATATATTAACACATCAGCCTTCATAATTAGAGTCATTAAATGTGATCACTAATTTAATGTCTAGTGCATATTTGACTTTCTT